GAGAGAGAGAGAGAGAGAGAGAGAGAGAGAGAGAGAGAGAGAGAGAGTTACAAGGCACACCTCGAATACAAGGTACATACAAGGTACAAGGTATTCGAGGGTACCTTCTATTCGAAAATTTAACAGAGATTTCTTAGAACGCTTTTCTCGGAGGTTACTTGAATACAAGGTACGTACCTTGTTTTCGGGTTAAGACGGTAGTAGCAGCATTGAGTTTCCTCTACACATTCATTGGACGCGTTTATCAAGGTGTGCCGTTGAGGAAACTCAAAGCTATTTCTGCACATCTCGACGAAGACGTCCACGTTCGAGCGTTGAGGAAACTCAACGTTGCTACGGTAGTGTGGGAGGAGGCCCCTAATAATAAAGCCACGTTTCGTTGGGGCCAAAACAAAAAGAAATCGCCGTGCGCTCATTGCGCCCCGCCTTTCCTTAAATTTCTGTTTTTGCTTTTTTGAAGTTTTTTCCTATTTTTGTTCTTTCTTCCTAACGGTGATTGGTCCGCCATTTCTCAAAGCGAACGGTGACAACCATCGCTGCGGCGAATGCCCGCCATTTTTGTCCGTCGGGATTCGCATCCGTTCTATTCGCGCGCGGAACAGGGCTACCGGCAGCAGGCCGTTGAAGCGAGCTGACCCCTCCGTCTCGGAGATGGTGGCGGAACACACACACACACACACACACACACAGAATTCAATTCCCGCCGACTCCTTACCGCGCTTTTTGCGTAATTCTCTCTCTCGATGCCCACGTTTTCTGCTTTTCCTCGCAAAGCGCGCGGGAACTTCTGAGGGCGGTCGATGCTGTCGGCGGCGCCATCGCCGTTGTCGATCGCTGGTCATTGCCGTCGTGGAGATCGTCATCATTTAATATAAATATTTAATCAGCTGGAGGAGGAAACAGCGGAAGCAAAGTTCGAGTGACGTACTCTCATCGGAGGACTTCGCTTTATGCATCTGACCGCTTTTACAGCCCCGGTGGATGCACGCGGCCGTAGTTACCTGGTGTGAGCATGCCCTTAGTGACGTACTGAGGGAAGGAGTAGGGAGGGAGGAAGGGAGGGAGAGAGGGAGGGAAGGACGCGGTTAACTCCCATGTGTTGTGTCTCGTTCGATGTTATCGATGAGAACACCATAGCCATCGAGCTCCGTCGTTGTTGCTAGAACGGGCGGCGGCGGCGGCGATGCCGACCGCTTTTACGGCCACTCCGTGTAGATGCACGTGACGGCAATTACGTCCACATTCCAAGTTGATATAGTCCCAGCGTGAGCATGTCCTTAGTGACGTACTGAGGGAGCGAGGAGGGAGGGGAGGAAGGAAGAAGGAAGGAGGAGGTCAGCTCTCAGCCGTGTCTCGTCCGATGTTTTCGAGGAGATCGCCATAGCCATCTAGCTCCGTCGTCGTTGTCAATGCCTACGGCAGCGGCGGCGGCGGCTATGCCGAGGTCCTCCGCGCCGGCGGAGTCGCCGATGACGTCATCAACGCCATCGACGACGACGACCACCACAGCAACGACGGCGGGGAAGAAGAAGAGCCGCCGACCGAAGGAGAACCCATTCTTGCAGCAAGAGCTGCCTGCTTGTTATCCTGTCGTCACTATCAATGTCGCCATAGCTTTTCTCTTCGGCCTTGGTTGTTTGCTTATACCTATTGGCGCCATAGCTCTTTTCGCTTCCAACTCTATCGTTGAGGTCGTCAGTCGTTACGATGATGCCTGCCTAACCCGGTTTCCTCCCAATTCCAGTTCCACCACTTGCGAATTATACCTATCGATTCCGAAGACGATGCACAAGCCCATCTACATCTACTACGAATTAGATAATTTTTATCAAAACCATCGCCGTTATGTGAGCAGTTACAGTAGAGACGAACTGCTAGGTTTAAGTGTGAGCAGGGATTCGAGGGAGAGATCCTGTCGGCCACAAGATGTGGTCCGCGGGGTCGATGGCAATCCAATACAGCCGTTGACTCCAATTATCCCCTGCGGATTGATTGCATGGAGTAGGTTTAATGATAGCTTCAGCTTCGGATTTTCGAGAGGAATGATCTCTGAATCTTCCTCCCCCCTGAATGTCATCAAGGAGGGGATTTCTTGGATCTCGGACAGGGAGAAATTCAGTAACACCCCGTTTGTAGAGAGTGAGGGGAATGAGAGCGAGAGCGCTCGGATCGAGCGGAGGTTCGATGGCGCGACCTTGCGGGAAGACGAAGATTTGATGGTTTGGATGCGGATCTCGCCGTTTTCGAAATTTCGCAAACTGTGGGGGAAATTGGACAGGACGTTGAGAGAGGGAGACAAGTTGCAGGTGAATATCAGTAATCAGTACAACAGTTATGGGTTCAACGGGAATAAGAAACTCGTACTCAGTACATCGGGATGGCTAGGAGGGGCGAATCTCTTCTTAGCGGCGGCGTATTTGGTCACGGGTGCCTTCTGTCTCTCAGCGTCCGTCTGCTTCCTTTTCCTCCGATGGCTGTTTCCGCGAAACTTCGGAGAGGAATCCAATCTGTCGTGGAATTGGCTGCGTGCAGCGAACGATGGCGTCACGGAGGTGATTATGTTCGGGTGAGGAGGGAGCTGTGTGTTGTGTGTGTGTTGCGGAGGATGCTGCTCAACGAAGCTGAGCGGACAGGGGATGGCGGACCCGTTGGAAGTTGCGCGCGGAGATCGGAGAAAGGAACCACACTCTGCAATCGGCGACGGGGGCGGGGGGCCGGGGGCGCGGGGGGAGGTGTGTTCGTCTCACGACTCACGAACGCGGACGGCGGGAATTAATTGGTAAGAAGATAAGAACAATGTGTGTGTGTGTGTGTGTGAGAGAGAGAGAGAGAGAGAGAGAGAGAGAGAGAGAGAGAGAGAGAGAGAGAGAGAGAGAGAGAGAGATTCTATCACTCTGTATTTATTCCATGTATGTCTATGTAGGACAGTAGGCGAGAGAGAGAGAGAGAGAGAGAGAGAGAGAGAGAGAGAGAGAGAGAGAGAGAGAGGATTGCAGCAGGCCTACTTCATGTGCTCTCCTTCGTGGTTTTTGGCTGGGGCCTGGGGTATTGGTTTGAGCTTTGGCCCGGCGTCCCTGTGACCGGAAGTTTTTTCACGGTATCGACGACGGTAACCTTTTTTTTTTTTTTTTTGAGCTTTTCACAAGGAGCTTATATAGATGTGTACATTATGACGGTGCTAGTTTAGACCTTTTTTGTTTTATACAAAATGCGGTGATGGCTGCAGTTACTCAGCGAGCAAACCCCACAGCGGAACTTTCTTCGACCTTTTCTTTAGGTTTTTTTTTTTTTTTTTTTTGTGCGTGGAATCGTGGATATAAGTCCGCGGACGAGGGCTCAGAAATATCGAAATAAAAAATATCGACCTTTATTTTGATATTTTGCAAACGCCGTTAACGAAAAACAGTACTATGCGAAGTCGTGTATATGTACCCTCCTGCTGCTCGAATCTTCGAATACTACACATCCCGCTGCACGATAACGAAGGACATGTGATGTTTCGGAACCCAAAAAAAAAAAAAAAAAAAAAAAGGTGTTTGAGAAAAATTCACCTCGGTTGGATTTACTTTTTAAAAATTTTTAATTCAGAATCATTAGCACTTCCCTCCCCCCCCCTTAAAAAGGGGCGACAGCCTTGAATTATCATCATCGAATTAACCGCCCTTAGGTAATTTTGAATAATTTTCAATTTTGGTATTTCGCACATCTGCTTCCACTACCGTCTTCTCCCGAACATAACGCACATCTGCTTCCACTACCGTCTTCTACTACCGTCTTCTCCCGGCTGTATCTGGCTGGAAATATAGCTCGTATGCATTCATTTTTAGGGTGCGTTATGTTCGGGGGAAGACGGATGTGGAGTTCGAACTCAGGTCTTTATCATCGTTACCTTCTTCCCCCGAATACAACGTACGGTCATTATAGCTGCATTTGAGGCATCTTTCAGCCTAGATACAGCTGTAATGACCGTACGTTGTATTCGGGGGAAGAAGGTCGCACTTAATTGGAGTTCGAAAATGAAGTGGATGCATGTGGAAGGACAGTTCACGTCGGTTGGCTTGTTTTGCGAAAAAAAAAAAAAAGCTTTACATTCAAACTAGCTTTAAATCATTAAAAAAAAAAAAAGCTTTAAATCGTTATCATTTAATATATTCCAAATTGTTCTAGTGAATGCGTGGATAAGCTGTATAGGACAGTTGCTGAGTCCAATTCTTTTTTTTTTTTTTTTTTTTTTTTTTTTCCGAGTCCAATTGTGACTCAATTCAGACATTGGATTTCTGTTCTTCTCACTTTTTCACCCTCCGTGAGTTTTTTATTTTTATTTTTTTTACCCTCCGTGTGTTCCCCCCGCCGGCCCCGCTCTTTGTTGCGGGTCGTCGGCATCGTGCATACTGCCCGAAGAAAGGCGTTGCAGGCCAACGCTACTCTGCCCCCCTTTCTTCGACTCCCCCCTCCCCCCCCCCCCCTCCTCGTTAAAACAAAAAAAAAGCGAAGCCCAGTGCGGAATGCTTTGTTGCTATTCTATTACCAACCGGACTTATTAAACTTTTGTGTTTGTTTTTTCCCCCTTTCAATTTGATTGCTCTCATTATGATGCCGCAGGCCGCTGGAGCTAAACGTCGGCACCTAGGCGAGATTCTGCTAGCAAAGAGGATTGGATTTAATGCCCAAATTTGGATGTGTTTGAGGAGATGTGAAGAAATTCGAAATCGATCTGCTTTTCTGCGTCTCTGCGTAAAACCCATCCACATTCAGGCTCTTAATCCAGTCTTTGCTAGATCATGGCAGTGGAGCTAAACGTCGGCAAGTAGGCGAGGTCCCACTAGCAAAGAGGATTGGATTTAAGGCCCGAATTTGGGCGTGTTTGAGGAGATGTGCAGAAATTCGAAATTGATCTGCTTTTCTGCATAAAACCCATCCACGTTCAGGCTCTTAATCCAACCGTCTTTGCTAGATCATGCCAGTGGAGCTAAACGTCGGCACTAGGCGAGGCTCACTAGTAGCAAAGAGGATTGGATTTTAACGCCCGAATTTGGACGTGTTTGAGGAGATGTGCAGAAATTCGAAATTGATCTTCTTTTCTGCATCTTTGCAGAAAACCCATCCGGATTCAGGCTCTTAATCCAATCGTCTTTGCTAGTTGGACCTCGCCCACAGGACGGTAGCTGCCATACTGCCGAACACATTGCTTCGCGTTCACATCTTATTTTTAATGTTTGTTTTTTTCTAATTATACGTATGGCGTATGCTTTTTTTTTTTTAAGCTAAAATTTCAAAAGAAGCAATTATGCCTAAGTGGCATCTCAATGCAGTCATCCCTCAAAGAAAAAGGAAAAAAGAAAATGAAAAAAAAAACAGCAAAACAGGACAGAACTTCCCCCCGAAATAACTGGGGGGGGGAAACGCACGTATTATCTTTTAAGGCGGAACTTTAAAAAAAAAGCAACAAATAAATCAGGGGAATACGGGTTGCGAAGGGTATTTTCGTGGGGAGGGGTGCGGAGGGGCGGTTAAGGAGAGAGGATTTCAGATACACGAACGAAACGTGCCCTGGGGTGAGGTCTCTCATGTGCCCTGAATGTCCGTTTGCGACCGTTAATTACGATGATCAACGGCCAAATAACGGCCAGATCCTCGTTTGCGTCCGTTTGCGTCCGTTTGCGTCCGTATGTGTAATGAAGTAAAAACTGTTTGCGTCCGTTTGTGTAATGAAGTAAAAAACAAACAAATAAAAGGCGATAAGAAGTCAGGCTAAGTTCACAAATTTTGAAAAAAAGAATCGTTTGTGTCCGTTTGATTACGACGATCACTAGGCCAAGTAACGGCTAGATGTCCGTTTGTGCCGCCGCTTTCACGGCCGAATTTAGTGCCAATAGTCCTAGTTTGAGTATAGCCTGAGGCGATTTTCAGAGATCAAGGTCGGAATGGGGTAGTGTTTTCCTCGCTCCCCCCCCCCCCCTCTTTTTCTGTGAATTGGGGTGTTTTCGGTCGTGTATTTAACCGCGTTTACGGCCGAATTAAGTCCAAATATTGTGATAAAAACCCTGAGGCGATTTTCGCTGGTCGAGGTCGCAATGGGGTAGTTTTCTTTGGGGATCGGGTGTTTTCGCTCCCCAGCCACAGTCTACAATTGAACAGCAAAAAAAAATAAAAAAATTGAACAGTACTCGAAGAAGTGCACCAACGTGGGTTTCCACGTGGAAAGCTTTATTTGTCCGTAGTGCCCTCTCCCTTTTTTTTTCCTTTTTTTTTTTTCCTTTCTATTTTTCCTTTCTATTTTTCCTTTTTAATTTTCTTTTTTCTTTTTCTTTTTTCTTTTTCCTTTTTATTTTTTTGACCATTTGTCGATTTATGCGTGTCATCCTTGCGCAGGGGCCATGCTTATCTTCATTCTCTATATCGTTCCAATTTTAACGGATGTCCCGAAGGACGTGCCCTCTCCCTTTTTTTTTTTTTGTGCCCTCTCCCTTGTCCCGAAGGATGTGCCCGAAGGACAGGCCGGGAGCAAGTACCCGTAAAAAAGAAGTATCCACTGCAGATGATAAAGCACGAAACAGGGAGAAGAAACCATGTCTGAAGTACTGATCAGGGATGGGGGGTGAAATTGTGAAGTCAGGAGTTTGAAGGTTACCTATAGCCCCTCTGAACCCAGAGATTGGCCTGTCACAAAATAAGTATTTAACAAGGCCTATAGGGGGCAGGGTCCCACAGGCGGTTGCCTTCTGTGAGACCAAGAATTTCAAAGAGAAGGATGACACAACTCAAGAAATGGTCCAATGTTTTCCCTAAACAAACCCACATCCCCCTTTCCTTGCTTCCGCGTCGTATAGCTCTTTCCCCCTTTGTTTCCGCCGTCGTTTCCCCCTTCCTTCATCGCGTCTTCCCATGTCTTCCCCCATCTCTGTCTCCCGCGTCTTCCCCCTCTTTCCCCTTTCCCTCCCCCGTCTTTCCCCTTATTCCCACGTCTTCCCCCACATACCCTCCTTTCCCCGTCTGCGCCTCCCGTGTCTTCCCCCCCTTTCCCCCTGTCTTTACCCGTCTCCGCCGTCATCCCCTTTTAGCACTTGTTGTTTGACTTGTTGACAAGCCTGTCGGACGAGTATTTATCTGGTGCTGTCCACCTTCCCTCGTATGCAACGCCTGTCTTTTTTTTTTTTTTTTTTTTTCCATTTCGTTTTTTTTTTCCCCCTCGACTCTGGTGTTGAGAACGGTTATAATATTGAAAACGAAACAAAAAAAAAAGTTCTGGGTCACATACCAGTCGTCATTCCTATAATGAAAAGCCTGTCTATGTAAAGGGGAGAAGCCTATACGTTCTGTTGGTGGAAGGGGGGCGCGAGGGGATATCGCATGCGTTGTATTTGGAGGAAGAACAGCCATTTCGTCAAAACGGACATATTATATTTTTTGAACGAAATCAAAACTGACTTTTTTTGCCTAAATCCGGTCGGAATTTTTTGCTCCTGGGGACCCCTTACATGTATCTGGTCTATGGTTGAGACCAGATACCTTTTTTTTTTTTTTTTTTGTATCTGGTCTCAACCATAGACCAGATACATGTAGGGGGTCTGGCGTTTTTGGCAAAAAAAGTCAGTTTTGATTTCGTTCAAAAAATATAATGTCCGTTTTGCCGAAATGGCTGTTGAAGAATATTTATTCTATTCGGATGAAACGTTTCTGGACTTCTCTGGAGCCGGGACTAGGTCCCACTTGCACGAATTAAGAGATACTGACCGTAGACAGCAAAGTTCAACGGCCGACATCTCCTAATTTGCGCAAGCGGGACCTTTCCCCTGGTAATGGTCCCGATAAATCTAATCTAAACTGATGGACCGCCAAGTGTTTCTGGTCGAGGAAACGGTCCAGGTACATATAGAATGTTATGCAGTCGAGCAAGGCCCATAGTCTGCTAGAGCCCCTGAAGTGTTGAAATACAGACCCAATACGCATGTGGAGCCTGAAAACTGGCTGCGAACCGTTGTGACGGCGGAAAAATTGTGTCGGTGTCTTCGCTTCTTTCTTTTCCTTCGCTTCGCTTCTTCCCTTTCGGCGGTGATGGGACAGGCCTGGGGCAGACGGTTGAGTGTGCGTGCCCTGTTGGGCACGATCAATAACGGTTGGCGATGGTTGTTTCTTGCTCTGCTGAGAGTAAAACGGGGGAACTGAGATTTTTGGTGCGATGATCGCGCGGGAGCTTTCCGGTTTTCTTTTTAAATTTTCCTTTCAACTAATGACGAGCCCCGGAGGGCTCTCGGAATTTTTATTTCTTTTATATTTTTCTTTGTTTTTCTTCCGTCTCGTCGGAATTTTTCTGTTCCAATTTCGAGTTCAGATAGGAATTTAGGACTTTCTGAATTTCTTGCCGAGCG